CCACGCAGATGTATTTTCGCGCGCATTTTTTTCAACAACGAGGTGGCGGGGGGGGGGGCCACCAGAGGCGCCTGAAGAGAAACGGGGCAAGGGGGGGGTGTAGCGCGCGTGCGCGCGTGGTGTGAGAGGGGGAGGGGGGGAGGGGGAACGCCTCGCGCGGGCGGGTGGAGGAGGGGGAGCAGGGCGGAGGAGCGAGGAGGGGAGGGCGAGGGGCGAGAGGGGCGAGGGAGGAGGGAGGGACGAGGCGCAGGGACGAGACCGCAGGCGGGGGAGGGGCTGCCCCGGCCGGCTCTCGCACCCGCGGTCTCGCTCGTCGTAGCCACGGCCGCGGTCGTAGTCGCGCCGGTCGTCAGAGTACCTGCGCGGCGGCGGCCGCGTGGGCGGTCCCGCACTCTCCACGCACGCCCCGCACCGCCGGGAGGGGGCAAGGCCCGCACCTCCCTCCTCCGCGGTCATCGTACCGCGGCGGCGGTCCGCCGCGGCCGCCCTGGTCGCGGTTGTCTACGATTGCGGGGCGGCGGCCACCGCCGGTGCCCATCTTGAAGTTGACCACCTCCTCCGACTCCTCCAGCGCCGAGTCGCGCGCGCGGTCCGGACCGACGATGTACAGCCGCTTCGACGGCCCGTGCTTGCCTGCGGGGTGCGGCGGGCGGGCGCGGGTTCGCCCCCGGGGTGGGGAGGGGGGTGCGTTGCCGGCGTGGGAGGAGCCCACCGTCGCGCTTGCGGTCGTTGTCGAAGAACATGAAGACGCGGTGCTTCTCCTCCATCTTGCGCAGCGTCGCGCCCTTGGAGCCGAGCAGGAACCCGACCGCCGGCACGGGCACGTCGAGCGTCTCGACCTGGTGCGCGAGCGAGGGGAGGGCGCGCGGGTGGAGGGAGTGGCGCCGCGTGCCCGTCCCGCGCGCGCGGGCGCCGCGATGCGTGGGCGGCATGGGCGGCGCGGCGGCCGCTGGCGGGCGCGCTCACGTCCTTCCGCTCCTCCATGTCCTGAAAGTCAATGTCGATGCGGCCGCCGTTGCGCTGCTGCAGCGTGATTTTGATGGCGAGCCTGCGGGACGCGCGGGCGGGCGGGCGTGCCGTGCGCGGGCGGGCGGCGGGAGCGGGGGCACACGACGGCGCTCGCCTCGCGCGCTCCAGCGCATCATCGGTGCCCGTCAGCTCGGCCGAGTCCTTGTCGATGTTGAGGCGCGCGAGCGAGAAGTTCTCGAGGCGGAACTTTGTCTGGCCGCCGCGGCCGACCAGGTAGGCGACCTCGTCGTCCGAGAGCGGCATCGTCTCGGTCCGAGTCGACATTGTGAGGTTGGCGGAGTGGAGTGCGGCACAGCGCGCAGCGGGCTTTCTAAAGTGGGCAAGTCTGCGCCGATTATAAGAAAACCAAAGTACCACCGTCCCACCGTCGCCTCGCTACAGACGTCACGCCCCCGCGCGCGGGGTGGCGCGAGAGCGGAGAGGAGGCAGGAGCTGCTGCCGGGGCGCGTGGCCGCGCGTGTGCCCCCCCCCGCGCGCGCGGTTCGCCTGTCGCCGCCCGCCCCCCCCCCCCCCTCTCGCCGCCGCTCCCCTCACAGCCTCGTACAAGGGTGCCGCCGTCGGCGCCACAGCCCTCGCTTGCTCAAACGGTGACTCTACCCCATCCGGCATCCCCCTCGCCCCTCGGTACTGCCCCACCTTCTTCAGAACCAAATCCTCACCGCCCCCCATAGAGCGGTCGAGAGAGGAGTTGTTCTTCACACCGTGTCGGGAGGTGTCCGGCGACGAGGGGTCGCGACACACATCTCGCACGCGAGGTCGAACGATGTCCCTCTTCTTCTTATTTCTTCACTACCCTGAACTTTGTTCTTGCATATCATCATGGTTGCAACTGAAAAAACCTCAAAGCCCTGGGTGCTGGGATCCATCCCCCTACTGTTTGAAAGAGCCGCGCCCGCTCCCACCTGCTTCCCTTCAAGTCGTCCGCCGCTCCGAGAGGTTTCCTTGAAGTACGTCCAAACAAGATATCTGGACTGCGCATCATCGCCGGCACAAACGCCAAGAAGCCCCTCAGCGAGCGCGCGCCCCAGCACTGCCGCCGTGGCGGCAAGTGGGCGCGCGAGAAGTTCGTGATGGCGGTGCAGGGAGAGTTCCCGCGAGGGGCAGGCGTTCCCAAGGGGACGATCCTGTGCCTCGGCAGGGTGCTCGAAGCGCACGATGAGCAGGACGACGCGGAGGGTGGGCGCCGGGATTGGGAGGAGGATGACCTGCTCGGGTCTCGATGCTGCTCCACGCCATGTCCCATGTGCATGGCGTTCGAGTGAACGCCGTGCAGGCGCCCGTGCCTTTTGGTGTTCCCCGTTACTTTGTACCGCGTCCTGTGCCCCCGAGTTCATTTTGTGTATTAAGCCCCCCTCACCCTCAAACGCCTTTGCGGCCCTCGATCAGCTTTTTGGCGGGGAGGTATCATGGCCGAGTCAGTGCACGAGTACGAGTTATCCCACAGCTTTTTGGTGGCCGAGGTGCGAGGACGCGTTAGGGCGTAGAACTAGAAGTGTGTGACACACGTGACGAGGTGGTTTTTTACCGTGTTTTTTTGGTTTTTTTCATCGCACACACAGCCAAGATTTAGAATAGAAGTTGAAAGGCGCCTTCGATCAGCTCCGAGTCCAACTTGTCGAGTGCGGTCGAAGCCTGCCCCCCTCACCCAGAGGCAAACGCCTTTGCGGCCCTCGTCGACCCCGCCGCAACGCGTGAGAGGGGGGCGGCGTGAGGTTCGAGGACCGGGTGGCGGCAGAAAAAAAAAGAGCGCGAGATCACAGGCTTCGATCAGCTTTTCGGTCCAGCGAGTCCATCTTGTCGAGTGCGGTCGAAGCCTGCGCGTGCAGCCCCCCTGCTCGCTCCCCTGAGGCTTCCAGCGCTGCCTCCGCCGCCGGCCAGCCGGTGTGCAGCACCGGCACCGGCCCTTCCAAACGCGTCTGCAAGATGCGCCGCCGTACCATGCTCACCGTGCAGCCCCGCACTCAGGCGGCGACTCGCCCCCGCGAAAAATGGTGGACCACCTCGAGCTTGACAAGGCGTTGTCCGCGCGCTCCCTGCGACGCGGCGACGACCCTTTGCACACCCACTCGCCCCTTCTCCTCCCTGCGCCGCGCGGCAGCGCGTGACACGCAGCCACACATGCGTCCGACCGCCGCCCGTGCGCCGCTGCAGGTCGCGCCCTTCCTGATAAAGCTCTTCGAGATCGTCTCGTCGCCCGCGTCGGACAATCTGGTGTGCTGGAGCGAGCACGGCGAGTCGTTCAAGATTGTCGATCGCACCAAGTTTGCGCAGGCGCGCGCGCATCGCCTCGGGCCGCGGCGGCCGCTGGCAGCCGCCGGCAGCACACACCGAGCGGATCCCTCGCCTGCGCGCCGCAGGACGTGCTCCCGCTCTACTTCAAGCACGACAACCTTCGCTCCTTCATCAGACAGCTCAACATCTACGGCTTTCAGCGCTGCCAAAACTCGTCCGGGCGGGACCGGACGATGGAGTTCTTTCACCCGATGTTTACGCGAAACGGGATGCGCAACTTGAAGGACATCAAGCGCGGCAACCAGAGCAAAAAGAACGACACGGTGGAGGACGGGGTCGACGAGGTGGAGCAGCCGCAGGCGTGCCCGCAATCCTCGTCGCCCTCCTCCCCCCCTCGCCCGCCCCGCTCGCCGCCGCGCGCTCCCGCTGCGCCGCCCCTCCGCCCTGCGCTCCCAGCTCTGCCGCTCCCGCCTCGCTCGCACAGGCGAAGCGGCCGCGCGTTGACTACTCAACGTTCAAGACGGACGTCGCGCGGCTGCAGAAGAACCTCGAGGCCTCGACCCCCCCCCCCCCCTCTAAGACGCTCGCTCTGCTCGCCCTTTCCAACGCGGTTTCCTCCTCCTCCCGCGCCCGCCCGCACAGGAGTTTGAGCACGACCTCAAGCAGCACACGCTGCAGGTGCAGCAGAAGCTCGCCTATATCCTCTCGGCCCTCGACGACACGCCCGGCGCCGTGCAGCAGCCACCCGCAGACAGCGAGCAGCGCGGCTCCTCTCCAGAGCTGTCTGCGGGCGCACTGCTGTGACTTGTCGTGTGCCCCCCTTGTGAAGACCTGCATGTGTCGAGAGTAGAGTAGAGCTGGGGATGTGTGTCTACGCATTTATTGTGTGAAAATCCGTAGCAAGACCGACATTACTTTTGCGGGTTACCACCATACGTCGATGCACGAGGGGGGGGCGGGCGCGGGGGCCCGCGCGCCGGGGCCCAAGCGGGCGCGGGGGGCCCCGGCGGGGCGTGTGTGTGGCCATAGCCACACTGGCCCACCACACACTGGCAGTGACACTGCACACACACTCCACAGCGCGCGCGGTGCTGTGCAGCAAGCGCGCGCGTCTCGAGTGTCGAGAGCAGAGAGAACCACCGGCCCACTCTCGCCGCTTGTTGTACCTTTTTCGCTATACAGAGGTAACAGCCCTCTCCCCGGCGGTCTTACAGTTAACGTACGGCTCTAGCCTCTACATACGCTCTATTAGACGCGTGTCTGGATTCAGTCTGAAATGCGCGAGCACCCAGCCAGAGCGGCTGTCACGCCCGCTTCTTCAAAGCCTGGGCGCGAACGTCCCGCCTCACCCGGACGGCGAGCATCCAGACCGGCACGCCCAGCCAAATCCAGTTGATGAGCACGCCAAAGTAGACGAAGAAAAACGTGAACGGTGTGACCGGTGGGAAGCAGTCGGCGACGCCAAACGGCTGCTGGTTGAGGCAGCCGTCGAGCATGTCAGGCGCCATGAAGAGCAGCGACCCGTAGGCGGCCATCGCGAGCACTGCCGCCTCGATCGTGCGATGCCACGTCGCCCGCGTCGCCACGCCCACCGCCGCAGCGAGCGAGAGCCAGGTGTAGACGAAGAGCTCTGTCGCGTTCACGGTTCGCGCGACCGCAACCTCGTACACGCTGGGCCCGGCGGGCGTGCCGACCAGGTCGCGCCGGTAGCGACGGTCGAGGATGCCGTAGAAGCGGGACAGGCGTGGGACGAAGCCAAAGCCTCCTGCGCAGCCGTCCATGACCGTGTAGATTATCACGCCGTTCCACAGGTGCCAGTGCATGGCCAGCGAGCGGCTCCGGCTGAGTGCCGCGGATCCGCGCGTGAGATAGAGAAACACGCACAACTCGGCGAGGCCAACACCAACCGCAGGGTCTGAGACATATTGCAGCACATCGCCCGCCGACGGCAGGCGCATGGTCAGCGTCATCGCCTCGGCGTCGGCGTCGATGAAGAGCACGGAGACGAAGGAGGAGGCGAGGAAGAGGAAGGTCGGGTCGAGAGGGTTGAGCAGCATTGGGCTGCTATTTCCGCTGGGACTGGCGAGTAGAGGCACACGCTCGCACTCCCGAGGTCTCTTGGAGCAGAGCCCCGGCGAGGCCTCGGGAGAGCTACCCAATGGGTCCCTCGGAGGGGTACCTTGGGTGGAGGGCCTCTCGCCAGCCGCTGTGGACGAAGAAGAAAAGCGCCGTCGCCCTCACTAAAAAAAAGCGGGTGCCGTCCTCCCATCCCTCCCTCGGGTTGTGTCTGTGCTCTTCTCCTGTGTTAGTGCCAGTGCGCGCCAGTCCTGTGCCCAGTGTTGTGCTTTGTTTGAATCAAAGGCTTTGTTGTAAACGCACAACCCCGGGCCCGAAATCGCAGAGAGACAGTCACGCAACACGGGGTCCCAGGGAAGGCGAGCAAAACCCTTATCGCGCGCGCTAGACGCCGACTCGGAGGCTGCACCGCTCACACTAGAGTCCGTCCTCGCCTTCGCCTTCCTGGGACGCACCGCTGGCTTCTGACTGCCGCCGCTGTCTCTCTCCCTTCTCGACTGTCTGTGCTTGTGCGTCTTTGGTCCCGGGGTTGTGTCTTTGCGTGAAGACGGTCTCGTGCAACAGGCTCTCAGAGCAGCGCGTGAGTACGAGGGGGTGCGAGTACAGTTGAAGGCGGCGGACTACGGCCGAGCACAGCGGAGTGCGTGTCCTCTCGAGCGGGGCGCTACTTGGGAGAGACAAGACTACGCCTTCCGTCTTCTAGAGTCCGCAGCACCTCCGCCAACTCGTCGTCCTGGTCGGTGCCTCCCCCTCGCGCCGCCTCGCCGCCCTCGTCCGCGTCGGCGCCGATCTCGCGCGAGCGGGAGGGCGGGGAGAGCAGCGCCACGCGCGCCTCCGCCAGTAGCCGGTCTGGGTTCGGGTACCGTGGGGGTAAGGGAGGGTGGCCTCTTGTACCGTGGGGTAGGGGAGGGTGGGTTAAGGTACCGTGGGGTAGGGGAGGGTGGGTTCGGTGTGTGTGTGTGTGTGTGGAACTGCCTCCAGACTGCGTCGTTGACCCGCAGCAGCCTCGTCGTCTTGACCAGAGTGCGCAGCCGCTGCTGCGTCCCGCCGGCCGCCTCGCGCGACCCGCCGGCGCGCCCAGCGAGCAGCAGCGGCCGCGCGCCGAGATCTTGCCGGACGAGGCGGGAGGTAGACGGGTGCGGGTCGCACGTAACGAGGATCTGGAGCGGATCCAGCCTGGGTCGCGCCGCGCCGCAGCCGAACGACGGCGGAGCTGAAGCGGCGCGTGGAGAGTCACGGCGGCGAGCAGACTGCCCGACGAGCGGTCAGGCGCCGCACGGCCCCGGGGGTATGCACGGAGGATATGCTGGCACGTGGCCGCGGCATAGCGGCGAGAGGGGCGAGAGAGACAGCAGGCCGTGGACGCAGCGCTGCAGATGTCCGGTGGGTAAAAAAGCGGGTGCCGTCCTCCCATCCCTCCCTCGGGTTGTGATAGAGCAGGCCGGCTGCGGCTCCTAATGTACCTCCACTTTTGGGTGGCGGTCGCGCGCTGCCGACGGCGCTCGCCGGCGCTACGGCGCTCGCGGCGCGCTCGTGGCGTTTAGGGCGGCTCCACACGCACACACACACACACACACACACACACACACACACACACACACACACACACACACACACACACACACACACACACACACACACATGCACAGACACACAGCCCCTTCCCCTCCCCCCTCAAGGGCGAGGACACGCACAGGCCGCACCTCTAGTGAGGCCCGCATAGTATGTGGGAGACTCGTGCCGCCGCCCCTGCCACCCCTGTGTCAGTGTGCATGTGCGAGAGACTGCCAGCGACAAGCTGGAGGCAGGTCGCTAGACTGAGATGAGACCGCCAGTGGATGTGGGAGTCCACCGCGCACCGCGCTGCGAGCCTGTCGTGTCCCTTGTCAGGAGCAGGAGAGCCCCACCTGTCCCCCTGATCGTCCTTCCAAAATCCTGCTCGTGCAGGTGGGGACCCTGTCCTCGTCCCATCCCTCGTTTGGCGTGTCTGTTTTCTTTCTTTCCTCGGGTTGTGTCTGTGCTCTTCTCCTGTGTTAGTGCCAGTGCGCGCCAGTCCTGTGCCCAGTGTTGTGCTTTGTTTGAATCAAAGGCTTTGTTGTATAATTCGTTTATTTCTCTTTATTTCTTCCTGTAGTCTGCTGGAGAGAGAGTTGATTTTGTAAAATTCTTTCCTTTCCCTCCCAAAGTTCTTTCCCTCCCTTGCGTTGTAGCTTTCTTCCTTTCTTTGTATCCCCAGTAAGGCGTGAGAGAAAGAACAACTTTCTCGACGGCTGCTCGACCGACCCGGGGACCTGTTCCTTTTTACCCACCTCACAGTAGAGGTGTCCGTTTTTATTTATTTATCGACCGACCCGCACAACGACTCACACTGCTACATGCCGTCCCAACTAACCCCGAGAGGTATAGCTTTCCAGCTCACCAGGGCTTTGCGTCGCGCTTGACGTCGCCCTTCAGCTTCTTCACCCCGGAGGAGGAGGCACCACCCGACGAGGAGCCGGCGCCCGAGCTGCTGCCGCCTCGCGACGAGCTCGGATGCATCCGGCGCACGTTGAATGCTGTGCACCGCCTCATGAATCCGAAGGCAATCGAGCTGCTAGTGTCAGGAGCTGGGGTGTACTGGAAGGTGAACAGCTCGCCCTCGTTTGCATCCGCAGGGAAGTCGACGGATACCGTGTCGTATAGGCTCCCGCGGGGGCGCACATCGATCCTAGCGCCTATCCCTTTTCCTGCTCGCCGCGGTGCAGCAACCTCGAAGACGGCTTTGGACCAGTCGATGCGGCCGCAGCTCGAGCACTGCGAGTACGTGGCGGGTAGCGGCATCTCGTCCTCCAGTCGACGCTTTTCCTCAAATTCGCCACTGCTCCTGGCGGTAGCCAGCTGCCTCATCTTCGCGCTGATCTCGGCTGTGTTGTTGCAGCTCTGGTCCTTGTGCTTCGCGCGGTACGCGTCGAACATGGCTTGCACCGCGGGCGGCAGCAGGCCGTTTTGGAGCTTGAGCACGCCATCTCGGATCTGATCGTGGACGGCGAGGATCGGGACGTCGAGCGTGCCGCGGTAGGCGAGCTGCACAATCTTGACCTCCTTCGTCTGGCCCAGGCGGTGCACGCGGCCCGCGGCCTGCACCGCGACTGACGGGTCAAAGGCCGGCTCGAGCAGGTAGACCCGCGTCGCGTTGTGGAGATTGAGGCCAACAGCCGCAACTTTGAACGTGGCAACGACGAGGCGCGCGCCCTTGACCGATTTGCACTGGAACGTATCGAGGATGCGCTGCCTCGCAGTCACCTTGAGGCTCTGCTTGATGTCATCGACGACCCACTCGTCCTGGCCCAAAGCCGAGAGCCAATTCACGAGCGCAGCCTGCACCGCGTCGTCGTGCGTAAAGATGGCGACGCGCATGTCCGGCTCCGTCGCAAGCAGCGTCTGCAGCTCCTCCTTCAGCCAGAGGAGCTTCGTCGCCGTCTGCTGCACGGGCTTCGCGCTTGCGGCGGTGAAGTGGTTGCAAAGCGCGAGGCGCTGAGGAAGGAACCGCGGCTCCAGGTTGGCGAGGAGCTTGCGCGTGTTGTGCTTGGCGTTCTCACCGCCGTCGCTCGCGCCGCCGCCACCCGGGATGTCGTCAGCTTTCATGCACGCATGGTGACGGTTAGCCTCGGCTTCCTCGGGCGTCAAGTCGAGCCACTCAACACGGAACGCAGCCTTTGGCAGAGCCAGCGCAACCTCTCCGTCGATCCTCTGGCTCTTTGTGTGGCGGATCATGCGCGCACGGAGCGCGTCCGCGGTGGCTTGGCAGGCGTCCCGGCCCGTTAGCTTCTCGAGCCACTTGCTCGCGCCGAGCACGTCCGCCTGCGCCTCGAGCTCGGAGACGCTCGCACTGAGCGGCGTGCCCGTGAGCAGCCATACAGATCCCTGCACATGCACGTCCTTCAAGTACTGGAGAGTCATCTCCTCGCCCGCGTGCGATTTGCCGATCAGGTGGCTCTCGTCGATAATAAGCCGATGAAATTGCAGGTAGTCGAGCTGCCTGCGGTCAAAGTTCTGCTTGGCGAGGCCCTTTGGCCAGGTGATGAGCACGTCGCAGTCGGCGAGGTCGTCAGCATCGTTGCTGCTGGCCTTCCTCGCAATCTTGGTCGCCGGCTGCGCGCCACGCTGGGCCTGCCGTGTCTGCGTCCGCAGGCGCAGCTCGATCGGCTCATCCGGCGTGCACCTGGCCTTTGCAAGCAGCGCACGCGCCGTGTCTTCGCTGCTGCACATATCGCCGTTGATCGCAATGAGGACGCGATTCGGCTTGACTACGTCAGCTGCGGGCCCGCGAGCCTCCTCCACGATGACGACCCTGCTGCCGCTGAGCGCCTTCTCGCCGAGGATGAGGCCGGATTTGTAGATGGGCTGGCCGACGTCATCGAGCTGGTCTTCGACCTCCCACGACTTTGACGGCACCGGGCGGAAACACAGCGGCTTCAAAATCACCGAGAGGGAAGGGTGATGCAGTGAACATCCCATGGGAAGCTCCTGCAGCACCGCGAGGCGAACATAGCCTGCAGCGCCTGTGCTTCGAGCGAGGCTGGCCAAGTCATGCGCGCTCAATTTGAGCGAAGCCACCTCCGCGGTGGTGAGCGTGAGCTGGCGGTTGGCAGGGTACCCTCCGTTGCCCCTGTCGTAGTTGCCGACAAAGATCTCTCCTCCAACGCCCTCTGCGCTTCGCAGCTCGCCTGGCGCCGCCATCTCTCGCACCCTCTGCTCGAGAGCGGCGACCAGCCCCGCGTTGGTCACCGCGTCGGCGCCGCCACCCGGCGGCATCTCGCACCGCACCCACGTCGTGAGATCGTCATTGCACTTGGCCACGGTCCTCTGGATCTTGTGCCACGACAGCGTCACAGACTCGTACAGGTAGTCCTTGAGAGGCCCCTTCTCTGGCGCCTTGAAGAGCACGTTCACTCGCAGCTTTGGTGCGAAGCGGCGCACTTCGTCCTCCCACTGTTGCACGAGCATGCTCGGCACTACGATGAGCGTCGTCTTGTAGGTGGCGCGCTCCTGGCGCTCGACGTGGCCGCGTGGTGGCCGTGGCGCAATGCACGGGTTTGCGAGGACCAGCGAGATGGCGACCACCGTCTTGCCCATGCCCACCTCGTCGCACAGCCACCCGCCGCGCTGGCCGTCGCTTCCGAGCAGGCTCTTGCCCTTGCTTTGTTCGACGTCCGTCATGAAGGCGAGAGACTGCCGCTGGTACGGCCGGAGCTGCGTCCCCTTCCGCAGCCCGCGCGGCTCTGCCTCTTCGCGAGGGTACACCTGCGTCACCGCCTCAAGAAGTTGATCGCCGCTCCACGCCTCCTTCGCAACGTTGCCGCTGCCACCGCCCTTTGTCGCTGGCTGTGTCGTGGCCTGCCGCCGCTCATTCCGCAGCTTCTGCCACGCGGACGACGTGTGCACCGCATGACAATGCGAAGTCCACTCGTCGCAAGTCGAGGCGGGGTTGTCACACACGTAGCAGTAGCAGTTTGTGCAGTGCTGCGCCGCGCCATCGACCAGCTTGAACTTCAAGCAGTGCTCACGGGAATGTGGGAAGTCTGAGAGAGCGACGCATCCTGAAGTGGCGGTGATCTGCACGTCGTCCTCCTCCTGCTCCGCAGCAGCAGTGGCCGATGCCTTGCGCTTGCCACGCGCCTTGGCCGCGGTCTCGGCCTCTTCGAGGAGCGCGATTGCCGCCTCGGCCTAAGGAAGGGACACACGTTGGGCAAGGGGGAGGGGGGAGGAGGGGGGGGGGCTTGGCCTCGTCTTCATCGAGATCCTCCGAGTCGCCGTCGTCGTGCTTCACATGGAACAGCGCCTCGTCGCCTGCGTCTTCGTTTGCCGGGACCCACATGGTGATGGTGCCCTTCGCGAGCTCCCCGTCGTGCTGAATCGCGACGCGCTTGCTTATGAAGGCGTGGCCCGAGGTCTGGCCCTCCTTCAGCCAGTCCACTGCGCCATCCTCGTCATCGCTCATACTCGCGCTCCCCGATTCCTCTTCCGAAGAGTCGGGCTCTTGGCTGCGTGAAGTCGCAGGCTGCTTGCGTGCCTGCTTGGGCGCGGACTCGCTGGCATCCTCGTCCGAAGAGTCGGGCTCTCGAATGCGTGCAGCCTGCTGCGCATCCGCAGACTGCTTGCGTGCCTGCTTGGGCGCGGACTCGCTGGCATCCTCGTCCGAAGAGTCGGGCTCTCGACTGCGTGCAGCCTGCTGCGCATCCGTAGGCTGCTTGCGTGCCTGCTTGGGCGCGGACTCGCTGGCCTCTGGAGCAGGCTGCTTCTTCCGCGAGCTGTCGGCACCTGGCTTGTTGCACTTTGCTGGCTCTCCGGCAGTAGCGCGCGCAAGAGCTGCCGACTTGCGCTCGTCATCGGCTGTCCATTCCAAGTGCGTGCCCTTGGGGACGACGGAACCAGCAACCTCATCAAGCTCCACATGCGTCACTGCGCGTGCCCGCACCTCCTGCAGCTCGAGGACGTCGTCCACGACGCCATTGGAGATGGCGCGGTACCACCGCCCCTTCCACGCGAATTCGCAAGGCGTGCCTGGTGGCCAGGCGTTCTCAACGTCTCGCATTGCCGAAGGTTCGCCGAATGTCGCGCCCACACACGGCGGACTCTACGCCGCCCGTCGCCGAGACCTAGGGCAGGGAAAAGAACTTGCGAACAAGGTGAGAAAAGAATTTACTAGCGTTCCGATTCGTTTCCGATTCGTTATTCCTCTCCCCAACGCGCTCACTCTTTTACATACAACATACAAAAAGCTCCCTCGCACAACACTGGGCACGGGACTGGCGCGCACTGCAACTGGCACGGGAAAAGAATAACAATCACAACTCCCGCTGCGCTCACAGCAACAGAGCAGCGAAGGCTCTTTTCATATACCTTCTATTCCAAAAGTTATTTAGATCTAGCAGCATGCCGGTTTCGGACATCGGCGAACAATCAGAAGGGTGCCGCCTGCACACAAATGGAGTCCGATGTGTGCACCTCACTCCCAGAAGCTTGGAGCTTCAGGCCGCGACCACGTGGCTAGGTGGACACTAAAGTGCCATTTTGGCGCCAAATCTTGGCGGGAAATGACACTTGGCTTGGCGGGAGTGTGGTGTAGCTGCGCTGCTCGACAGCGCTGCTGTTGAGCGCTAGCTGCTGCTCCCTTCAACCAGACGGCCGGGCCTGCGCAGCACGAGCGCTGGCCTTCCTCCTGCACCACAGGAGCGCGCCAAGGCGCGCGTCTGGGCAAGCAGTGCGTCTCATCGCGATGCGAGAGTCGACGCTGTGACGCCGCCGCTCGCCGGCTAGAATGACAGTGGCAGCATTCGAGTACGCGTCGAGCTGTGCGTACCAGCACTTGTATGCGAGCTTATTGTGTCCCTGAGCTACTGTGGGGTGCGTGGGCTCAGCTGCGGAGTACGTACTGGGCGGCGGTAGGGGGGTGCTGCTAATAAACTTTTGGAATAGAAGGTAAAACTTTTGTTCACAGGGAATGCTGAGACAGGGTGAGGGAAAAGGCCGCGAGTGTTCGCTGAGCCTGAGGAACACAGGTTCTCTGGTAGGGACGGGAACGAGATGATAGTAGGGAGTAGAAGAAAGCAAAGAGGAGCCCTGCGCACGCACAGGATATCAGGGACACATTCCTTTCTTAAAGTAATTCTTATCAAAAAAAACATGCTCTTGCTCGTGGCCGGCGGCGGAGGCAGCGCTGGAAGCCTCAGGGGAGCGAGCAGGGGGGCTGCACGCGCGCAGAGGCTTCGACCGCACTCGACAAGCTGGACTCGCTGGACCGAAAAGCTGATCGAAAGCGCTGTATCTCGCGCTCTATTTTTTTCTGCCGCCACCCGGTCCTCGAACCTCACGCCGCCCCCCTCTCACTCACGCGTTGCGGAGGACGGGGTCGACGAGGGCCGCAAAGGCGTTTGTGCCGCCGGCGATGATGCGCAAGATGTCCTCCTCGGAGCGGACGTACTTGAAGGGAAGCACCTGGAGCGGGCGCAGCTCGACGACCGTGCCGGCCGCGGCGTCGATTGTGAGCCGCGTCGTCGTGCTGCCGCGGCCGGCCTCGTTGCGCGCGGTGATGGCGTGTGGGCCTGCGAGAGTTAGCCGAGACGTCGCCGAGATGTGGCCGAGACGGAGATGCGGCCGAGACATGGCCGAGGTGTGGCCGAGGTGCAGCCGAGCTGCGGCCGAAGTCTGGCCAAGACATGGGGCGTGCGGATGGCGTGCGCGCCCAGATTGATGCCGAGGGCGATGGCCTGCAGCCGCATCATCCGGTTGAGCATGCGCGAGCCCGTCCATGCGAGCCGGGCGAAGGGGAGCTCCTCGGGGAAGGCGCACACCTGCTCCCGACGCGAGCCCCTCGTCACTCCACGGCTGCCCCCCCGCCCCCTTCCCCCACCCCCTCCCTCCCACGCCCTCCCGAGGAGAGGCAGCGCGCCACGACATCGATGCGGCGGTGCCTGCCGCCGGCCGACCTCCAGATGGCGAACACCTACTCGAGAGGTCAAATCGACGGATCGAGGCCTCGGACCCGATCCCCCCCCCCCCCCCAGGGTGGCAGGCGCCTTGTCGTGATGATCGCACGCGAGGTTCTCGATGCCGTACCTGCCGGGCGAGGCGCGGGGCGAGGGAGGCCTCTTCTCCTCGCCGCCGTCGCCCCCCCACCCCCCTCCCCCTCCCGCGGCCGCCGCGCCGGATCGAGTCGAGCATGCTGTGGTCGCGCCGGTGCCTCCGGTCGTCGGGCGCCTCGCCACCGCCCTCCTCTCCCGCCGCGCCAGCGCCGCCGCACGCGGCCTCAGCGGGCGGCTTCCCCGCCCCCTTGGCGCGGTGGGCAGTCCGCACGAGGTGGAAGAAGGCTTCCTCGCGCCGAAGCATCCGCCGCTGCTGCTGCAGCTCCTCGACAAGCGGGAGGAGAAGGCACTCCTCCTTGCCGTCGCCCCAGCTGGCAGGCTCCTTGTGGTGCCTACTCGCACGGGGCCGCGTGAAGCGCGCCTCTCCGCCGCCTCCCTTCACACCTCGCCCCCCTCGCCGCGCGCCACAGCAGGATGTCGACGTCGTGCCCCGCCTTTCCGCGCGTGATTATTATTATTATTATTATTATTATTATTATTATTATTATTATTATTATTATTATTATTATTATTGCCCCGCCTTTCCGCGCGTGCGGCCGCCGCCGACGAACTCGGCGTGCCAGCAGCAGGAGCAGAGCGGCTCTCCCTCCCTGGGAGGCGGGCAGTCGCTCCCGCTCTTGCTCGCTCGCCGCGCGGCCGCCTCCACCGCACTCCGCATCTCCAGCGCCTCGGCGAGCGGGACGGGCTCCTAATGGGACGCGTCGTGGACGTGTCGTGGTCACGGGTCCAACGCCTGTCTGGGGGTGGGGGGGGGGGTTTTGTGGGGGCGTGCCTGCAGCTCGTCGTGCACGCTCAGCGAGTGCGCGAGGGCCGTCGATCGAGGCAGCCTCTGCACGAGCCCTGGCCACCTCCTCAGCTCCTCGACGGAGCGGACGTGCCGCGGCGCGGCACCCGTCTCGCGCCTGAGTTTGTCGAGCGATCGGTGCGTGCCGCCTGCGAGATCGATCGCACACATGTGGCTGATGCCGACCACGCGGTTGAGTGCGCGCTTCTCGGGCGCGTGACGCATGCTGCGCCTCGCCTCGTTCTCAAAGCGCAGGACGCCCTTGGAGCTAATTGGGGCATCGCCGCTCCGGAACGCTGTGAGGGCGGCGCACGTCCCTGTCTGGAACAAGTCGACAATCTGGCCGGCGCGGAACTTGCCGATGTACGGCTCCTTCTCCAGCAAGGCGACGGCGCCGGCGCGGCCGCTGCGCCCAATCTCCTCACCCAGCGACCACTCGAGCCCACACACCACCGCCGCAGCGCGCGCATACTCGAGCGCCTCACTGTTGCACCGCTGGAACTCTCGGTCGGCGTGGTCGTCGCCCTGGCAGGCAATCTCGTACCTCTCGAGCTCGCGCAGCGCGTCCACAATCTCCGGGTAGCGGCCGACGAGCGGGAACCGGCGCGTGAGCGCCAGGAAGACCTGCGATGTGGAGAACCCGCGCTGCACGGCGGCCGCGGGCGTGGAGGTTGTCGCGAGGGAGCCGCCTCCACTCCCCGGCAGCCTTGGCCGCTTTGCGACACACGTAACGTTCCACCCGTCGTCTGAGTCGTACTCACCGGTTGCAACCAGATTGCTCTCTCGCACAGATTTTTTGACGCCGCTCTTCAGCTTGACATGGCACCGATCTCCGGGTAAGAGGACCGTCGCCTCGCATCCGTTTATCTTGCGACCTTCTTCGGAAACCAGGCCGAAGATTCGGACGGCGTCGCCGACGCGGAGCGCCATGTGCGGACAAGCACCAGCACCAGCACCAGGCCGGAGGCGCCCGCGAACGCTTTGCCTCGACAAAAAGAATTAGGAGGTGTGGCTCGTCCTCCCATCCCACACCACAGGCGTATTCTAGAGGGGAAAAGAAACGGGGAATGAGGGGCCCCGCCACGAGAAGTGCGTTCTGGGGATGCAGAGCGTGCAAAGCGGCTAGGGATGAGGTCGCAAAAGAGGCGCGCGAGGCAAGGAGGAGACGCGGGGAACTGAAAGACTGGGACGACTGGAAACAAGAAGACAGTGAGCCACCACAGGCGTCGTTGGCGCACATACTGAGCGGCAGCTGCGCTGGAAATAAGGAAGAGGCGCGTCACTTCATGCGGAAGCTCGACAAACACACAGCGAGGGCGACAGCAAGAGTTGAACGGGAGGCGCCGGACTCAAAAGACACCGCCACATTCCTGAGACGAGCGAGGGCAGCCTCCTTAAAGGCGAAAGGGTCTAGATTTGGGGCGCTCGCCGAAGAAGAGTACGACAAAATAGCGCCCGTGATTGCCTGCACGCTACCCGCACTCACGGACCCCATACCCGAAAGAAAGAGAAGGGAGCTCGCGGGAGAGGTGACGAGTGAACTACAGGTAGTGGGGAAGGCAGCCTCGATTGCCATACAGACATGGGTGCGAAACAACGACAAGACCAAGGCACGGGCAGAGGAACGAGAGAAGAATATAGGGTGGATAAAGCGCCTGTTCACGGCATGGAGGGTGAGCCACACCGAACGTACCGAGCGAAGAGCCGAGCGGAAGGAGGACGGGGAAGATGACTCCGAGGAGGACGAACCAGTGGAAATCCAGTTGTCAGATGTCACGATGCATCCGAAGGGGACCCCAGCGCCGGCATCATCCGTAGAGGCACGAGTGTTCGAAGAGAGAGTGGACCTGAGCAACAACATGACCTGTAGGCAAATGATCGGAGTGGGAGTCAGAAATGTGGTCCTTGCGCGAGGGGAGCTCGATAGACTCGAGGGGCCAGGATACGCCGCGAGGAGGACGGAGTTGCGCCGACAGGCGAAAGAAGCCGCGAGAACAAGGGACCGGCAGGTGGCGGCGTCGCAGGACGAGGCAGAAGAGAACAACGCGTCAGAGGAGGAAGTGACAAGGGAGAGAACGACGAGGGTGGGACGACCGCGAGGTGGCATGAAGGTTGCAGCGAGAATCGGCGAGAGACTGCGAAGAGAGATAGGAAGAGGCAGACTCCCTAGGGTGGGCGACGGATAGCGCACCACACACCTCTCCTTAAAATCCCTGTGTGGTGGCGGCGTGCCGTCCTCCCATCCCTCCCTTGGGTTGTCTGTTTTCTTTCTTTCTTTCTTTTTCCCTCCCTTGGGTTGTCTGTTTTCTTTCTTTCTTTCTTTGGGCACGGGACTGGCGCGCACTGGCACTAACACAGGCAAAAAGAATTTTACAAGCGCACTCCCTCGCACGACACACGACAAAAGAAATCCTGCTCCTCAAAGTGCTCGTCGCGTTGTTTGTGGCCCTGCGACCGCACCCCCCAGGGTTAGGGCTCTCTAGCCCGCAGCCCGATGCCAATCATCCGGCCCGCTGGGTGCGCTTCTTAGCTCCCCGGCCCTGGATGTGAGGTTACCGTATACCGACTGCACTCCAAGTGCTCCAACCCCTGACTGACAGTCTTCAAGACTTGGACTCCAAGTGCTCGAGCCGTCGCGCGTCACAGGGGCGCCCGCCAACGAAGACGAGCATCGGACCGCACGCCGCCGCCGAGTGCGCGGATCGCAGTGAGCCCTTTCGGTCGCATCCGGGGCGCACGTCGTGGGAGAGCGCCTACCACTCGGAGCCGGCCGTGTGGAAGACGAAGACCTCCTTGCCGACGGAGTCCTTGCCCAAGCATGGAGTAAAACGGACCGGTAGATTTTTGATCAGTGTCCGTCTGCGTCTGCAGGTCTGCTCTCAGAGCTGGTCGTTTTGTTGGCAAAATCTTTTTAGTATACCACGGGGCTGATATTATGTCAAAACACACACACACACGATTAACATGCTTCATGGGATGATGTTGATCCCGTTCTCCTCCATCTGCTTGAGCTTGAAGTAGAGTGAGCCAGTGGCCTCGGCATCATAGAGAGCTGTGTGTCGTTTCGAAGTTGCATTTTCATTGGGCATTCGAATATCCACAGCTCGACATGCCCAATCTAGACTTGGCATGCCTCTGTGCCGTGGTTTCTGCAGGTCGCGCGCCAAATTCATCGTGCAAGTCGCGGCCTTTGCGAGCCGCGTGAGAAGCTCTGCGCCTTCTGGTTGCTCAAGGCGACGGAACTCGCGTACCAGAATGCTCACGTCAAACTCAATATGATGTCCCACAAGCACGCCGCCGCTACGATCGAGGACACGCAAGGCGTCAAGCAGGCACGGTAGAACATGAGCCAACGGTTGGCCACGCTGAGCCAATTGCAGGTTTGTAAGCCCATGGTACTTCACCGCGGCCTGTGTGCAGGGTGGCGCGTCGCTGACACAAAGCTCTTGCCGTTCGAGGACCTCACCTCGAGCGTCAAATGTGCACCACCCGACCTGTACGGCACGTGCAAACTCGAGATTCCACGACTGACACCAGCACGTGTGGCCGAACTCGCCCGTATAGCCATCGTACCAGCTTGTTGTCCTCGAAGAGCCTGGCAGCACCTCTCCAGGCTGAGGCTGATTCTGGAGGAGCAAGCATGTTAAGCATTTTGTCACATTCGGCTTGTGTGTTTTCACATGTTCAGCGAGCTGAGCTTCTCTTTTCTCGCGAAGAGCTCTTCTTTTCTCCTCTGCCACAGCTGCTTCCATCCTTTCCTTCTTGAGACGAGCTTGCTTCTCCGCTTCTGGCTCCTGATCGAGCCATCCGTGCGTCTCTATGTCCAGTGCCATTACAGCGCACATTGCCCAGGCTGACATCTCTGGCGGCTCCTGTTGCGGCTGCTGCTGCGGTGGTTGCTGCGGCGGCTGCGGCGGTGGTCGGCGTGGCCTTCGCGTTGGTGCTATGCCATAGTACGGATGGAGCGTAGTGTACCAGCTCGATCGCTGCCACCAGGCGCCGATGCGGCGTGCACGCCGACGTCTAGGTTGCGGGATCATGTAGATGTCTTCTGGACGCTGTGTACCACAATTGGCAGCTCAGGGCTGGCTCAGGGCTGGCGAACCACAATTGGCACGAGCTCGAAACATGCTTGGATGTTTCGCATGGCTTATTAATGTTTCGCATAAACCTGTTTAGATCTAAACAACTTAAAGCGCTGCTTAGGCCTTAAACAGCCCAAACCCAACAGTCAGTGAAACTATGAGCGTCTCACAGTTATGTGCTGCCACGCAAAAACTTGGGGGTCGCCGGCCAACCGAACGCCCCACCCAGCCCTCTCGGCCGAGCTATCAGCCAAGGCGAAAGCTAATGTTCTCTCGCAAGCAGTCGTACGAGACCAGCAACCAGGGCTCGAGCCTCGACGACCTCTCGCGCAAGCTCGCCGTCGACCTGCGCAAGCACGTGCGCAAGCTCGACCACTACCCGCCGTACACCAACCAAGGACTGTGGCGCTGACAGGGCACCCAAATCGGCGGAGAGCCTGCTATCACATCGAGCCACCCACCGCCCTTCGCCGCGGGGCCGTCAGCCTCTCCAAGACCAAGTCTACAAGTGCTCCAAGTCGCAAGTCCAAGCGGTGCGGCGAGACGCGATGCAGGCGATGTCGCGTGCTCCAGGCACCAGGGGTTGACTTGTAACTCATCTAACAACCTGGTACCTGCATGGGAGAGATGGGACCGCACCTCCCAGAGAAGTCAGAAGAGCAAGAGCGGAGAAAGAAGTACTGCGCACAGAGCTCTGAAGACTCGTGAACAGGCTGTGAACACTCAAGCGTGTGTGAAGCTGAAGGCGATCGATCTCTCCTAAATACAGTACTCTCTAACACCGCTTTTTGTAATACCGTTGCCCAAACCCGCGTAGGAAAATAGTGCCCCGGCCGAGCGTATGCAATCTCCAAACGCCGGTGTGCCGCATGCGCCGTGGACCGGCCCCGAGGCGGGGCCGCGGCGCATCGAGGAGGGGGGAATGCGAATAGGAATAACAAGTTGCGGGGCGCGCCGTGGCGTTCAACAGATGGGCGGGCCTCGCACTGCGCGCAGCCAGGCTCCTAGTGTTAGGGGAGAGCAGAGATTCCGCCCTCTGGCCCCGGGCCGCTCGTCCAGGGCGGCCGGGAACTAGACGCTCGAGTAGACCGACGCCTGCCGCGCGGGGTAGACGCGAAAGACAGGCCCGCCTGCCAGGAGGGGCCCGCGCGGTCGGAGACGGAGGCGGACGGGGAAGAGGGGTGCGGGGCGGGGCTGGCGCGCCGTTGGTTTCGACGGGCACAGCGTAGCGCGAGGAGACCAGCAGCCGCGCGGGCGTGCCGCGGATGATCGAGATCGTCGAGTCTGCGACGGCGGCCCGCGCGGCGCCGTTCTCGTGCAGCAGCACGCGGTGCGTCGCTCGGAGGGAGGATCGCGGCGACTCGGCGCCGGCGGCGGTTGTAATGGGCTCTGAGGTTGTTCTTACAAAGTCACCGGGAAGCTGTGATGGATATTGGGTCGCCCTAATTTTATATGGAAATCCAATTTCCAAACCAACAGCTACGCCAGCTGCAAGCCCGCCATTTATGGGCTCACCGTCATCGACATCGTTTTTTAGGAGCTGTATCTCGACTGGGCCGTCAGTGCTTGCGAGAACATCAAAATTGATATATCCATCGTGTTACTTGGTGCCATATCTGTATACCCGACTCCCATTGCGGCGAATCCCAAGGGGGGCTGCCCCATCCGTCTACGATTACATTCCCAGGACCTGGCTCTGCAACCTCCCGAACAACTTTTGACCATCTTCGCAATATGGGTTCGAACCTCCGAAGTACCTTTCTCCTCCCCCAAACGGAATTGGACCAACTTGACGTAGGGGCGAGTTATAAGGAAGGCGAGTGGCTGCTGATAAATCACAAGCGTCATATGCTGCCTTCGACGGGAATTCCCAGACTTGATACGGACCTGCTGGCTTAGCGTTCTTAATGTCAATACTCAGCTCCGGGGGGTCGGCCATTCTATTTACAGACACATTGTCGATGCACACGTTAGGAGACAGCCCTTCTGCTGACCTGCCCCCCTGGAAAAAGCGAATGTAATTTGTTGATCTCGCTTCGAACGTGACCGTGTACTTTGTAAAGGAGGAAGACCCACAGGGTTTTACCCTCCGCGTGAGGATCGACGCGGCGAGGGGGTAGGTTCGAATTCGCCGCGCAACATTTCACCCCCACAGGACCTCGCCCGCCCCCCCTCATGGTCCCACCTAGCACCCAAACGAGCTTTCGCACCCTCTCCTTGCGTGGTGTCCCCCGCTATGTGTCGCCGTTTTCGGGGCACGCAATCCTGTGCAGTCAGGGCAAGTGGGGGCGGGGGGCAGTCCCTCTGGTCCGATACTGGTTCTGTCTCTAGTCTCGGAGGGGGGCTTGAAGCTAAGAATATTTTATTTTTGTAAAGGAGGAAGACGACGGTGGTACAATTTTGTCCGATAAACTTGAGCGGGTGTTGACCTGTACAGACCCTTGAACAAGCGACCCCTCATTTATGAATGAAAGGTAAAACGAAACCTCGTACGTGACGCCCGGAACCAAACCCATTAGAGGTTGACTAATCCAGGCGTCATTTGTTAAAACGACGAGCGTCGTCGGGTGGAAAGTGCTCATACAACTCGAAAGACGTCCTTTTCGAAACAACAACCTTGTCTTTGACGTAAACGTCGCGCTGGGTCAGGTTTGGGTTGCGCATTATCACAACCTTGTACTCTTTGTCGACGCGGTCCAGGTCAATCTGTGGGTATGAGAACATAAGGATTCGGAGAGTTGGGGGCGGCGCGCAAAAATAAACGGAGGAGTGTCTCTATTGGCAGCGGGGGAGAGCCCGAGATTGCAGGTCTACTTTTTTCTCTACCCCCTTGTAAAAGCGAAATCATTATGTTGAACGCGCCTCCCCCTGTGCAAGACTAACCTCAACAATTTGTGGACTGGTGGAAACAATCTTTATGACCTGTTGGGCTACGGCGGTCACCAAATTCGAATGTCCGACAACGCAACGGGGGAAGCTCACGTTTTCAACATCCCTGACGACGCGCGAGGAAGGGCCGACGTGATAGACGAGATTATGAACAGCCACTACTTTGGCCTCGCTTCTCCGTACGAGATCGATGGCAACTTCCGCATTCAAATTTTAAACAACCCAGTTGGGCAGCCCATGCAAGACCAGGTCTTTGCAAACGATGCTTCTATGGATTGCATGACGAAGGTGATCACACCGAGATGGAAAGCTGTTGACTTTAACGAATGCAGAGTCCATTAAAAAGGCAAAACAGCCATACAGAAATGCGCTGATTTACGCTGCCAAGTTCAGCAATGGGGTCCCCGAGGCCGAGTTGGATGCGTATTCAAAGGCGGTGAAGATCAATATCACCATCAAAACGTATGGAGACAAGGTAATTTACGAGTCTCCGAAGCTTTCAAATTCGATCGGAACTCTCAACTTTTTCAATTCGAGGATGAACCACGTCGAAGTGTTGAGGTATGACATTTGCAACTTGATTCAAATGATGGCAGACCACGTATACAGACTACGAGGATATCGAATGCATTAAAGCGAAGTGCATCGAGCAAGGGACGACCGTGATTTACAAATCAAACGGCAAAAACATTTCATTTCTCGCTACGCCAAACGGAGTTTTCAAAACTGGCGGCCCTACAAAGAAGGCGGTCGAGCTCAGGTCGAGCTGTTTGACTCAAAGAACGATCTTCCATATTTGAAGAAATCGCTGCTTGGGCCCTCTCCGTTTTACATGGGGAGCCAGTTTCACCACAACAATTCCTTCCTTTACCATTTGTACGACGATCTTCCCAACTTTTTTCTTCGGCGACTACCTTTACAACAAGGCCCACCACCGGCGGCCCCACGACGGCGTCCTCGCCGCCTGGGCGGACGCGATGCGCGCCCCGGCCAACGCGCCGGTCGTGCACGGCGACAAGGAGAAACCAGAGCTCACCCGGCAGTACAACGAGGGGTACAAGGTCGACCTCGCGGAACCCCATGCGGGGCCAGGAGGATGCGACGAAGTAAATGAAATCAACTCTGGACGCCCCTCCTCAAGACCTCCTCGGCGGGCGTTGGCAACGCCTCGAGCGGCGGCACGCCCGCCTCCGTTGGCCACTCCTACGCCTTCGGCAACACCGAAGAGAAGGCCCGCCGCCTAAACATGGGCTGCAAGGCGCGCGGGCAGCCCGGCCAACCCTTCTCCCACAAGACCGGCCACGGCTACGTCAAGGCGCATCGCGGTTTCTACCACGACGCGATCTTTGTCAAGCGCAACAACTTCAACCTGCTGCTCCACGAGACGTTCGGCGGCGGCTTCTCGCCCACCGCCGTTCTCAAGCTGCGCCGCCTCGCGCGCAAAGCCGCGCGCGGCAGCGTCGACCGCACGGCCTACTCGCCCAAGTACTCGCTTTCTTTTATGTCCCACCATGCAGAGCGCATCTCTCTCTCTGTTGTGCGAGGCGTGAACCGCGCCATTCGCTCTCACCTGGCAACCCTGTCTGCACGTCTCGCGCGCGCGTGAACAGGGCTCCAGGCCCCAAATGACGTGTGAGTGTTAGAGTTGTTTGGTATTGCTAAAAATCTCTCTCTCACACGTCCCAACTCCCCAGAAATCCCGAGGAGCCGAAAAGAAAGAAAGAAAGAAAACAGACCACCCAAGGGAGGGATGGGAGGACGGCCGTGCAGTGCCTAGATAGAGATATATTTTGTTTTGTTTTTAGATAGATAAGTCTGTGTGCTCGAGTCTGTGTGCTGTGTGGTGCACGCCCTCCGAGCGGGGCGGGGTCTGCCCGTCGGGTTGCTGCCCTAATCCCACCAGGGGTTGACTGCTCTATGTATTTATTATTTCCAGACCGAGCCTAAAACATACATTCCAAGTGCTCGTCGCGTTCGACCGCACCCCTCCAGGGTTAGGGCTCTCTAGCCCGCAGCCCGATGCCAATCATCGGCCCGCTGGGTGCGCTTCTTAGCTCCCCGGCGGCCCTGGATGTGAGGTTACCGACTGGCGACTGTGCACTCCAACACCAAGTGGCAAGTGCTTCAAAAGTGCTCGCGCGTCACAGGGCCGCACCCAAAATAAGCGCGGAGAGCCGGCTATCATACCCACCCACCGCCCTTGCTTCGCCGCGGGGCCCGCCGCCATCTGCCGCCGAGGGCGAGGCGTCGCCGCGAGGGGCCGTCAGCCTCTCCAAGGCCAAGTGCTCCAAAAGTGCGCGCGGCCCGAGAGCGATGCTCCAGGTCGGCGTAACAACCTGCATGGGAGACCGCACTCCCCTGGGATCCCTGGACCCTGCCTGCGCCGGCTGCGCGCGGGGCTCCGCCAGAAAAGTAGCACTGGCATGTCGCAACTCGCATGAGAGAGCACACTGTGTGGTGACTGGTGTGTCTGTGTGCACACACTGGTGTCACGCTGCCAAACTCGAATGAGGAATGTCGAAACTGCTAACTGGGCCACTGAGGTCTGACTCTGAGGAGTGAGGAGTGAGGACTGAGCTTAGTTTTTGAAGGTGAAGCTGGAAGGCGATCTCTACTCACACGCAATAAAACCACCCCGGGGCCAACCCGCTTCGGTTTCGTCGCCAAGAGTGTACTCTTGGGCCCCGAACCCGAATAAAAAAACGTGTGCCCCCCCTTCGAGTGTATCTCGAGTGTTGCTATGGAGCGTCCGTTTCAACACGCGCTCGCGCGCTTGCGTCTGCTGGCCCCCAGAGAACATGTTGCACCACAAGCTCCCGGCGGAGCCCAACTGCTCGCACTCGACAAGGCAGTCCATCCACTCGCGGCAGCTGAAGTCGAACTTCCACTCGATGCGGCTCGCGCCGGGTTGTGAGCTCGGCGAGCGAGGTCGGAGAGCGACCTCAGTTGGCCCAAGCCGCACGCCACTGAGGCAGAGCGGCCGTGCGCGTACGACGCCGTACGCGCACGGCCACTCTGCACCGACCGCAGCGCTGCATTGCGACCGCAGAGGCTCAGCTCAGCCAGGGCTCGCTCGCCCGAGCTCGGAGCCGCCGGCGGTCATGGGCAGCAACAAAGGTTTGACGCGTCGCTCGGTGCAGGAGGGCACTGCAGTAGAGGTGCAGAGGCCGTCCGGCACGCGCGCGATGGGCTACGGCTTCATTGGCAGCTACCAGAGCGCGTCTGGAGCGCTGCCATTGTGTGACCCACGTCCAAGCGGCGCTTCCGGCCTGTTCCGCGCCTCTTTTTACGCTTTTCATTGGAGAGGGGGGGACGAGGTCTCATCAACTTCGAAACCGCCTTTGAAAGGGGGGAAATGCGTCCGTCCCTAAGCGGGTTGAGGCGGGGGTGGTTTTATTGCGACTAGTTACATACTCTTAACTTTTTTAAAACTCTATGTGACTAACCCTTTGTAAATACCCGGTTGCCCACACCCGCGTAGGATAATAGTACCGCGGCCGAGCGTATGCAATCTCCAAACGCCGGTGTGCCGCATGGGGAGTGCGAATAGGAATAACAAGTTGCGGGGCGCGCCGCGGCGTTCAACAGATGGACGGGCCTCGCACTGCGCGCAAGTGGCTACCGCGAGGGCTCCTAGTGTTAGGGGAGAGCAGAGAGTCCGCCTTCTGGCCCCGGGCCGCTCGTCCAGGGCGGCCGGGAACTAGACGCTCGAGTAGACCGACGCCTGCCGCGCGGGGTAGACGCGAAAGACAGGCCCGCCTGCCAGGAGGGGCCCGCGCGGTCGGAGACGGAGGCGGACGGGGAAGAGGGGGGCGGGGCGGGGCTGGCGCGCCGTTGGTTTCGACGGGCACAGCGTAGCGCGAAGAGACCAGCAGCCGCGCGGGCGTGCCGCGGATGATCGAGATCGTCGAGTCTGCGACGGCGGCCCGCGCGGCGCCGTTCTCGTGCAGCAGCACGCGGTGCGTCGCTCGGAGGGAGGATCGCGGCGACTCGGCGCCGGCGGCGGCGGCGACGAGGGCCTGAGTGGTCTCTGCATGGTGACGAGGGTGGCCTAATTCATTCACTAGTAATGGCGACGAGGGCCTGCGTGGTTTGCACGAGCGCGAGATGCTCCTCCGGGTGCATGAGGCGGAGCAGCGAGCCTCCGACCAGCTGCTGCCTGGA